GAAGTTGACGAATGAGAAAAAGCTGGACTTCCATTTTGATGTCTGCAATTCCTGTTGTCGTTGGTGTGAGAAGTATGACGGGTGGCATCGCGACTACAGAATTTTATTTTTTTCTTTGGGCGTGCCATTTTCCATTGATCACTCTGGACGTGAGGAGGAATGACTTCAGTTCTCAAGTCACAGTATACACTGTGTTGGAGTCGATCAATCCTTCCAGATCTGGGAGGTAGGAGTCCGCGCGAGAGGTCGCATTTGTCATGGCTCCTCGGGTCTCGACCCATCATCGAGCCCAATGAACTCATTTTCCCTATCCAATGCAAACTCTACCCCGGCAGACTAACTAGTCACGCATAAGCAGGCGGGTGACAGTTCGACCGACGATTCCGACGATGTCTACCATATACCTCACAGCAAATTGAATGCGGGGACAGTGGCTTGCGCAGTATCTACCGCATCCCTTCCCACTCTCCCATCTGGGCCCGGTGTCATGACCAAGTCAAGAAGACCGGAGGTGGCAGAGGCCGCATGTGCTTGACACGGCGTTAATCCACACCTGGGCGTACTATCACATCCCCCGGTCCACCACAGACACTTAACCGGGGTTTTATACGTCAAAGAAAATAGGGAGGCACCAGAAATCCCAACGGGCAAGACGTGAACTGATAACTGGGGCTGCTGCCACACCCCGTTGTTGGTGTTTGTTATGGGTGCATATGGCCGATAACGCTTTTGGACTCCGATCTAGCCCCCGTATAGGTCTAGCGCATCTACCGCGTGTTTCGTTTTAGGGACGATCTCTCCCTGACAAAGCGCGCATTGACACCCTTCTGCATTTTAGTGACCGAAAACACATTAATCGCTCAGACTCCATATATTGATATCTGATTTGGCCTAGTCAGGCATCAAATAATGGGTGTTGCTTGTCGACGGGCCTAGCGGTGGCGAAACAGATTTCATATGAATGTGCGGAGATTGTATATAGTCTTTTCCGAGTGTCCATTTTGTAGGTAGTGGTGCCGCTTTCGGTGACACCATGTCACTAGTCACATTACACCTTAGTAACTAGGTGCTTTATATCTTCAATATATAGATATCGGTATTTGCTATGGGTGCGCATTCCTGATAACGCCTGCCAGAATCCGAAGTAGCCCCCCTGTTGGTCCATCGTACCTACCGCGTTGACCCTTTTGGGGTTAGAGAGTAGGCGATAGGCACCGCTTCGTGTCAATATGGGTGAGCCAAATCGACACCAGCCATTAACGACTCCACTGAGTCAGATAGCTAAACAGTCATTATACCGAGTTCAGACCTTTGCGCTGAATTTGGTTGGTATATGACTGGGTAACCAACGTAGCCAGTGTCCTTTTCTACTGTTGTCGCTGAGGATGACTTCTAGAGAAAAGTCAAGTCCGCATACTAGCAGAATCATTTTCTCTCTTGACTGCTTCTGGGAACGCTTCGCTTTATTATTTTTAAAAAACCTAGAACTTTCTGCAAGTTGAAAAACATCTTGAGAAATGGTAGGGGGCGCTCACCGATCGTTCACACGGAACTCACCCATTTCGTTGTGCCTTACGGGCTTTCTCTCTCGAGCCCAACCAGCAGCCGCACAGCGGCGCATGATATAGGCAGTATGTTATTACCAAAAAAGACGAAGGAGACTGGAATGGCCATTTCTGGCTTATTAGCCGTTGTCAGCCAGTGATACCCAACCCCGAAGTGTGGAACACCAGAGGCTCGAACACGCGACCTGTAAGCTAGAAGTCCACGACTCTAACCACTAGGCCACGAGTCCGTTGCCCAGTCGGTTTCGATCGGGAATATACAATGGTAAGGGGAGCTTCACCGAGTGTTTGGCGGTAATAACATACTGCCTATATCAGGGTTGGGCATGACTGGCTGACGACGGCTAATAAGCCAGAAATGGCCATTCCAGTCTTCCTTGTCTTTGTCGGTAGCGCCATTCTGCCTATAGCTTAAAGAATTTTCACAAACCATCATCCCTCTGTAGCAGCGCTTGGTTACGTGGTTTCATTGTCGAACCCCACTTTCCACCATACCTACACATGATTTGTGTATTCATAGGACGGCCTTCCTCTTTACTAAGCTGTCCGTGGTGTTTCCTTCTTGCCGTCACGGTCTGTCATGTGTTTTGCCTCTGACAGTTTGTTCAGCGCCTTCATCTGGGCGGTTGCTCGAGAGTGCAGAGTGTAACAGTTTCCCCATTCGTTTTGCTTTCCCTCCTCCCCCCTGAGGCTGAAGTGGTACTTTCGTGCCTGATGTACTCGCAAAATCAAAATACGCTGTTGGTAACTGAGTGCGTGTCTTGCAAAACGATGCCCGCAAGATAAACACACGGGGGCGAGGCCATGTGCACGCTTCGGTTGCGAACTTTCAAGTGGCCATTGAATGTTCCCCCCACTGGAAGTATAAGTGTACGCTGAAAATGACCGCTTTGGGGGATTTTGACGGCAGTTTCAACTTCTCCTCTGCCCGCACGATCTTCAGAACTGATGTGGCTTTTAGACTAGGCGGAATCATAAGGCGTTGGCCCACTGCTTATTACAAATAATTTGACCTTTTTGAAAAAGCGTTTCTTTTTCATCCACTGAGTGGACACTTTTTCCATCTTTTTTGAGAACTGCGTGTGCGTGGTGCAGTGTTCATGTTGGTTCGCAAAGGTTCATATTTGGGTCGAATATTGCGCCCGGAGCAAGCAATGTCAAACTTTATGAATGATATCACTAGCAGTAGTGGTAGTTAGTATCGCCCTTGGGGATGGAGATGCGTTCTCTTTTGAATCGTCTGGGATACAAAACAGTGACTTCCTAATCAGTGCCGTTTCATTTTTATTCGTCTACAGAGTTCTTGCACCATTGAAAAGAGTTGCGAGTCAAGGCGCGCTTGCTGTGGGTTCATATCTAATGGTAGTTATGTTATCTGGCATATTTCAGCAATGTATCCTCAAAAACGTCTGCTACTGGCATTTTTAAGGAATGCTAGTGGGACGCTCACCGATCGTTCATACGGAACTCACTTGTTCCGTTGTGCCTTACGGGCTCTCTCTCTCGAGCCCAACCAGCAGCCGCACAGCGGCGCATGTCGCAGACGGAATGCTATCACCAACAAAGACAAGGGAGACTGGAATGGCCATTTCCGGCTTATTAGCAGTCGTCAGCCAGTCATACCCAACCCCGAAGTGTGGACCGCCCGAGGCTCGAAGTAAAAATAAAAGTAAAACAAAATTGTTGCTGTTGTTTCAGACATCGGCCGAAGCAAAGATCTTAGGATGTTAAACTACTGATTTCATCTGGAATTACAAACACAGCCTTCTCGGGCAGGTCATAAATTTTATATGATCCTGGCAGCTTCAGCGAACTAACTGGGCCCTGCAGATTTCTACTAACCTAACGGCAAACCGTACATTAAGGAGGCACAGAATTTATTCCTACCTATTGGCGGAGGACGTGCGTTTCACGCCTATTCTGCGGCTGGATGCAGACAGGGCGAGGGATGCAACTCTTCCGTCTCAGGGGTTTTCATTTCATGTTCACTCTACAGTATCTGACCCAAATACAAAGCGCCGTTTCCTAAATACCCTTTCCTCGACACTCCCAGGGGAGGCGTGCCGAAAAACTAAATTAGAAGTCGAAATTCTCTCCTTTACGCCGTCCAACAGAGAAGCAATTGACTGCGTATCTGGGCATTTAACTACTTCTTGCGTGTCGATAGCATAGTGGTACTGCTTTCGATGAGCTTGAAACCCACTGATGCATTGATCACTTATTTTGTTTAAAGTTACAATATGGCAAGACATAAGGAAACTTTCCTTCAAGGCATGGCAGCAATGACCTGATTCAGGTAAGCCATCCTCTCGAGGTGGGGCCCTCTATCGTGTGACCGAATGACAAATTGGTAACCTGGTGTCGTCTTTCACTGTGAGACATTTTGTCCTTTGGGGGCAGTCCACATGTGGTAGAACGGCAATCCCATAAGATAACTGACACCCCCCTGTGTCTCCTCCCTCCTCCCCCGGCGACACGACTTAGATAGGTCACTCGGCCTCCATGGAACTACTTGGAGCATCGCCCAGACTTTCGGAGGGGAAATGAGACTCGTGGGAATGATCGTATGAACACCTGGGGACGGACGTACTGCAAAGCGTGGGTAGCATGTAAAGGCCCTGCCTGCGTTTGAGATGTTTCTAGCTTCGCTTGGCTTATTTAATCTTTTGGAGCATTTTGTGAACTCAGAAGCCTCCTCATTGGTGGCCCCAAAACGCACTGTGATCACCATCTCTGGCCAAATTCTTGTCTGGACAAATTTCGTTGTTAACCCAGAGTTTTTGCGTATTGGGCATCAAGCCTTTTTGTCTATCTGACGCATTATCCCGACGATTGCAGTGTGAAATATTAATTCACGCGGAAGTTATTCAATATACGGCCCGGTAGATATATGCTTTTACTACAGTCGTTCCCGCCTAAAATGACTCAGTTTACTGATTACTCGTTATGTCATGCACCACGTTCAGGTTTACCATTCCGCAGCCGAACCACTATCTACGGTTGACTGATTCCGCCACCTCTCCCAAGGCGCCCCTCGGCTGTGCGGTTCGACGATAATTTCACATTGTCCGCACGTGATTGGTTGCTGCAGGTGTACCCGTGCGTGCGTAAGTTGGCCATTGTCGCGTATTGCGCGCGCGCGCTCTCACTTGCGCGCACTTTGACGCGTGCGCGTGCAGATGGCGCGCCAGGATGGGCGTGTGCCCTTCGCCCACGCGTGTGGGGGGGGGTCACACAATCGGTAGCGCCTCGGGAGCGATAAGGTGCCCCGGCCCGCCGTGAAATGCAACGGTTGGTCGCCTGTGCTCCCCGTCCGTATGCGCAGACTGACTCGCAAATTCAGCTATTATGTACATCATTAAGTGAGGGGTTAAACAGCGGTCCACGATGTCGGGAATGGAATACGAAACAAGATTTCGAAAGCAGGCCTTACCGATGGTGAAACTCTTTCCCCAACTGCAACAAGCCACTCGCGGTAGCAGCAGATCACAACACCTTCATCGTCACGCGTCTATGTTGAGGCAACTGCCCCTCCATCCGCGCGCTCGGGCAGGTGAACTGGGCGAGTACGCTTCTGTCGCCGATTGCGGTGTCCAGCGGAAGGTGAGTCGTTTTCTATATTGATATGTGCACTTTTTCACCGCGTTTTCATGCCCGACGACGCATTACGGCTTGAACATGCCAACCGGTTCACGCGAAAATACTAGATGTAGATAATGATAGAGGTTTCATCTTCCCTACGTCGGATGACGGTATCATCGGGGTATTACCGATTAGTTGTCAAAAATCGGCCGTAGTCCGTCTTCATAACAGCAGAACCGCGCCGTAAGTTTCCAAATGCGCGCTTAAACCTTTGTTTATATTAAGGCCACAACTGAATGAGAACCGCGCCCATAGTCATGTGGGCAGCTTGCAAAGCATTTGGAACAAAATAATTACATTGCAGGACATTTGCACCAAAAGTATTACTAATAAGCCCCTGAAACAAGACGAATGAAAGATTTACAGACGAGAAAAAGCTATTTAAGAGAAAATTAAAATCATTTCAGAAGAGCATTTGGCGAGCTTACGCGTACTTTCGATAAATTCTCATCGGGCCTGTACATTTTTTTATGGGAACGAGGTACAAACTGAAGGTGTGGGTGATAAATGCAGTCGACTAAGACTCGCCCTTGCATACAAACGGGGTATGTGAATGGAGTAGGTGGGAGGGGGAAGGAGAGGAGGCAGTGACAGTGTGGGTTAGGTTTAGCCATGTGACAATGGGGGGGAGGCGAAGGGAGGGGGCGCGGAGACCTGCATACGGTTAATCGATCCTGGTCCACGGTAGACGCGGAACGTGCAAAAGGTTCTCCTGCGCGCACAGGACCGGCCTATCAGGCATCCTTGACTATAACGAAGCACCACAGATACCCTAATCCTTGGAGATTGCATATGCGAAGATAGATAATTATGAAAGGGAAAGTTGTTTGGAATGATCGTTTCTGGTCAATTTACCTGTCATAATTCAGTTCCAAATCAAAATAACTAGAGTTCTGGACTGGGTTCGTCATTGTATCACCACTCCGCTACTGAACCAGGAGCTCACTACCTGCCGGCAGTAGTATATGGGAGTGGCGTTCATCAAGCTCTCCTGACTGCCAAAACTTCTCAGTTTTGCCCTAACACTTCGGTTTGAAACACATGCTTGCGTTCACACAATGACGGTCAGTCCGCAACCATACAAGCCTTTGTCCACATGGCTACACCTATTAGTTCCGACCGATACGGCCACTCACGGCACGACTCTCTGTTATAGTTCGAGAGAATTTGATTACAAAGGGACCAAGCTGTGTACTCAAGCCTACTTGTCTAATGAGTCAGACCGCAGTCTAACCTGTAGACAGAGATCGTCTGGTCTAGACTTCCGGGCAGTTCAAGAACTTTGTTTAAACACCGAGTGGCATGCCTAATCACGTCTGAATGAAAATTAGATTGTCGTGCTCAAGTTGATTTAGATGGACGGGCATGCGTGTCTTTTCCTCCTTGTCCGGATGCTGACAATGGATGATAAGTTCCTTATTACCTCCCGCCCACTGGTCTGTTGCATTTGGTCTGTCGAATAAGATGGGGACCATAAATCCACCGGGAAGCGATTTTGGCCTGAATGACATCTACGTCATTCTCTTTTCAATTCCCAGCATGCAAAGCCTAAATGCGACAGGAAGCGGACGTATGGTCATCAGCTGGCGTGAGTGTAGGCCCCTGTCCCCAATCTGATAAGCTCAGGCTGATATATTAATCGAAATCAACCAAGTTTCACTAACTTGAACGTCGATGGCAAGCGGGAATGGTACCCGTCCGGAGGACCTAGTTTTCATTCAGTTGGAAGCCGCTCCCTATAGGAGTTTTTAAGATAAATTGATGTCACCAAAGTGTGCGGGATTTACTACAGTGAGAGCAGATTCCTCATGATGAATCGCGATCTTTTAATCTTTCGCATCGATTACTGATGAAATGACTGGGTCAAACATTCAGGAAATGGGATTTGTTCAACGGCCGCCAAGTGTTTGTGTTCCTTGCTTTTATTTGTCCTGCTGTAGATGGTGTTATTCCAAAGTGGATAATCTAGATAGGAGTGAGCCCAATCGCTGGAACGAGAGCTTTACTAACAAGACGTGCCCACAGATAAGTGATCTAAATGATGGCTTCTAACACAAATCCGAAGCCTCAGGTCAACAGAGCGATCCAGTGTACTTCTTCCCAAACTGCAAAGACTCCCTGGTAGTGTCTGTTTGCGTTTGATCCACTAGACTAGACAAACAAACTTAGTACACTAAATGTTTTTGAGATCGGGCAATCCACGTTAAAACACGAAATGTTGTAAAAAAACAAGGCGGTAGATTGTTCGGTGACTTAGATGGTCCAAAATCTCCCATTCCGCATGTAGATGTGTCGGGTTCTAAGCAACCATCTTCTCCAACTGTACTTTCTTAAAAAGTCAAACAACTCCTACTCCTAACGCTGACCTAGACCCATTCATTGCTAGCTACAGCGACCAAAACCAGTGGAAGGGAAAGGTGGGTAGGACTTAGGAAATTTTCGCCTCCATCCGCTCACAAAATAGAGAACACGCCCCGCTAAGGGTGGACAACATTGGCCCTCAGATACCTGATGAGGCCAAGACACACTCCAAAGCATTGGCAGTGACCCACATTTTAAGAAGTCGAGGCAATCCGCTATTGTTTACCCTACTCATGACATTCCACATTTCATAACCAAACATCTCCCTCCAGGGGATTAGCATACAAGTTTGAACTAGACTTCAAGCTAACACCACTCATCTTCTCCCCTTAGAAACCAAATCACACGCCTTAAGGCTGTTCTTCTGGGGGTATTGGCGACCAATTAGTTTCTGACAAGAAACTGCCCTTTTTACTTCGCTTGCAATCACCTCTAAAGAAAATAACATTTTTCTGGTTTATCTCATTGTAACTTTTCTACACATGTTGCAGATGCGAAAACCTGCAATGGAGAAACGGCGTCGCGAGCGGATTAATGTAGCCCTGGAGGAACTGAAGCGCCTTGTCGCCGAACCCTTCCTTAAAGAGGTAAGATAGTCGGAATCTGGGAGAAGAGACCAAATTGCTAAGAAAGGACAACATATTAGAACAATAGGGCCCAAAATAGGCATAACCTTCATATGCAGTCGAGGCCAACAAGCGTAACTAGGTAATATCCAACGAGTATATGAATAAGAAACGCCTTCGTGAATGTTGTGGGCATTTTTAGAATCCACGGCTCTCGATGGGTCCTAGTAGTTCAGGTGGCTGGAGCGTTGACCATGCTCAAGTCTTGATTCTGCTGTCGTGGGTTCAAAGTTCCCTGAAAAGTTCAACGAGGTAGACGCGCTGGACTAACACGAGGGCCAGATCTGAGTCCGGCAGGCGTTATCGGAGATGCACACCCCATAACAAATGCCAACATTCAGGGTGCGGTGGAAGGCCCGCTTGGGTTTCCCTGCCCGCTGGGTTTTCTCAAGCCTTCGGATATGCCTATGGATCCGACGTGATCTCTCCATCGCCACTAAGATTCGCGTGTACCGTGCGTCTGTCCGGTCTGTCTTTCTCTACGGCTGTGAATGCTGGGCTTTGCGCGTGGAGGACGAGCGAAAACTGGAGGTATTTGACCAACACTGCTTGAGGACCATCCTTCGAGTGAAGTTCGCCGACTTCGTCTCAATTGAGACAGTCCGCGCTCGCTGCGACAACATCGCAAGGATAACTCAGGCCATCCAATAAAGACGACTGAGGTGGTTCGGGCAAGTTCATCGTCGTCCACCTCAGCAGCTCAGTGTTACTGCCCTCGATCCGGCACCGTTGCCCTACTGGAGGAGTCGAAGAGAGGGTCAGTTCAAAACCTGGCTCGACACTGTCCGTCAAGACATGGAGGTGGTTCTTGGACCTTCGGTATTCGGTCTCCGTCCTTGGCGAAGGGAATGGGTTGAGCTGTCCAGATCTGCTGCCGCAGATAGTCACGCGTGGAGAGGTACGGTTCGGGGCAGCATCGAGACCGGCTAGATCAGGCATGATCGCAGGCGTATCAAGTACAAGTACAGGCCCAATTGCCGTCTAATGTCACACCAACTGGGATCCCGGCTGTCGTTTTTTTAAAATCCTGTTCAAGTGTTTGTTATGGATCAGGGGATGTGATGGTACGCCTAGGTGCAGCCTTTCGCCATGCCAGCCATCTGTGGCCTCTTCCACTCCCGCCCTTCTTGAGTTGGTCATGACACAGGGCTGAGATGGGACAGGGGAGAGTGCGGTGGATGCAGTGCAAGTCTGTCGTCATCATAAAATAATTCACGCGTAAGTCACCGTCCACATGGTGAACTTCGTCGAACCCGACAGTCGAACTCTCGGGTTCGCATGCCATCGAGGTCGCCGAGGTTTTAACAACCGGATCAAAGGGATGTAATGTGAAGGCAACGCTGCTTACCTCGGGCCTGATCCTTTCCTGCCTCAAGTGACTTCCACCGGTAGACCACATCGTTTGCAAAGAATAATTTGAACTATCATGCGGAAGTAGACCATGGGAGCGTGGGGGTAGGGGAGAGGCAGAAGGGGAAAATACCGTCAAAAGTAGCGCCTTAAGGGTTTAATATCATATTTATTCATTTTAAAGGTAGCTATTTTTTTCCTAACCGCCGACTCTATCTTTTGTGATTTCAGAATGCCCAGAAATTAGAGAAAGCAGACATCTTGGACCTGACTGTCAAGTTTGTGCTCGACTGCATCACAAGTGAGTTTCGGAGTCTGTGCAGATAATTGTAAGTCAGATACGGAAATACAGACCCCCGTACAGCTGATGGCCCTACGCTGAATTCCCAGGAGTACCTATTAGTTTGTCTAAGGTCAAACACTACGACGGACCCGTGTCTGACCGAGTTTTTGTCGTGCAGTCCCTGCTGTCAGCAGGAAAGTCAGTACTTTCGTCTACTCACTCCCCGAACTCCTAAATTTTGGCAGCCTTTAACGATACCATCCGTGCTTCCTTAGCGAAGCCATCGTAGTTTTCTGAGAACCCTGTGGGTAAGATGTGGTTATGTAGCCGCGCCTGATGGACAAAATACTGTTGGGGGTTAGGGTTAGGAGGCCAGCATTAGGAGGCTAGGGTTAGGGGTCAGAGTTAGGGATTAGGGCTAGGGGTTATGGTTAGGGGTTAGGGTTAATTGTTAGGGGTTACTGTTAGGGCAACTATTTCTCAACCACTCGAAGTACAACCGGGCATTCCCAATCGCATTTCTTTTGCATACAACTACTTGACCTCGTCACCCGTGCGTTTCCCGGCCCCGCCTGTAAAAAACCCTATTACCGCCGGTCCCGTACTACAGACGGCTGCGGGTTACTTACCTCAGGTGTGGCCTCATAACCACATCCGACTAACCGGTGGATGGGAACAAACGAAGCCTTTCGTCTATACGAAACCGATTTTTATGTCTGCCTTCCAGACTTTCCACATGGAAACCATCAGAAACAATAAGCTATGGACAGAGAAAATGCAGAAATTATAGACTGCGCCGGCACATGCCTGATGACGGGCTGATTCCATATGTCAGTACATTTATCCACGTACTGGTCAATCAGATTGCAATCAGATTGCAGAACAACTGAGCGAGAAACTTCGGCCACCGTAGTTTACAAATATAAAGTATTTTAGCGGTGTGCAGCTTACTGTCTCGGCGTCCGACTTGTGAAAGTTTCCCCTAGTATTCTTCATTGCGACCTACATTTTGTTTTTTGGTAGCAGATTGTGCATATTTTCTTTGAGATCAGTGCAAAGTAGGGAAATTATGTCCAAATACCCAGCTCTGATTTGCTTCTCGTCAGTACTAAAAGCTTTTCGACTGGAAACTGCAGCCGCCTGGCATTAATTTCAAGTAGGACACAGGAGTAGGGATTCCCCGTAATACATGTAGCCTTGCGCTTACTTCCCGAGAGATTGGGATTAGTGGAAGGGTTAGGGCTAGTGTCAAGGTTCGGGAGAGGTTAACCTTATCGGAATTTAGCGTAAGGTCACCTGAATTACGAGGGGGGGGATGGGGGGCGGAGAAGGGGATGGTTCCTATGACGGCCAGACGCATGTCAAACTGAGAAATTTATTCACCGCCACAAATGGCATGCGTTCGGATATTGACTTTAAGTTTAATTCGTTTGACCTACAGTAAGGCGCTTACAAGTTCCATCGTGGTGAGAAGCTCGCGCCCTACGTGAAATTTGCTCAATTACTCAGGTCTGGCTGTAAACCCAAGGTACAGAGGCATTCAGGAGCTATTATAAGTGGGACTGCTAAATTAACCGACGCGGAAGCAAGTTTCCTTTCCGAAAAAAGTGCCGCTTATTTTGTATGCATGCATTGTTTCACTGACTTCCTTTGCCTGTATAAAGGATAGTTCACAGAAATCATCGTGAAGGGAGCCATCTTTATTTTATTGGCATTTTGCTACTGAAGGAACTTAGTTAATTTAGTAACTCAGCCAGCGTGTTTACCCGTTTCCATTGTTAATAAACTACCAATCCTATGTTTTGTTCGGAAAAAGTATCAAGTAACTCGTTATTATGCCGTAAGTAAACACAAGGATCCTACAGTGTTTTAATGAAACTCGATCACCCGACGCCTTTTGTCAGTAGAAGTAACACGCCAGTACACCGTTGTTTGCGCAAAGACTCTCGCGAAGGTCCAAATGAAATTAACAACTGTAAACCTTTACACTCCAACTAATGCCCTCGGAGTACAACACCCTGCTCTCCTAAGAAGTGTTCGCAGTGTGTGTGGAGGCTGCGCGCATCATTTCTGGGTAATATTACTGAATTCATAAAGTGTCTTACATGAATTTCAAAAAATGTTCCGAATTTTAAGCAGCTGCCTCTCAAGAAAGTGACTAGCACGGGGAGTTAGAACAATGCCGAAAAACGTCAGTGCCGTCATCTGTGGATTAACGTACAGTATATGTGCTTTCTAACGAATTATTAACCCAAATTCTGAAATGTACCTTCGACTAGAAAATATTGCTTAGATATGGTACTAGGTATGGTAAGACTGTCATGCAGCACATTCACGAGATGTTTCAGCCACGTCAGAGTACCAGTATTTGAACAAGCTTCTTTCCAGCTGCCTAAAAACTGCACTCCGTAAAAAGTGGCCGCTTAAGCAGCACGCATTTTTTGTAATGATTTTCGATGTCCTTACGCATTTAAATAAATTTTAGGAGAGAAATGAAGGCATATTTTTTTCTTGTACTCATTACATCATGTGCAAATCACATCTACTCCAAATTGTACACTTGAGAAAATTTATCTTTCGGTTATTTTTGGGCTTGACTTGCCGTTGTACATGTGATCGGTTTTTTCAAACTAAAAACTGTATATTTTTCCTGTAAGAAAGATGTGGTACAAGGCTTGTAAAATTTTGTAATGTTTTCAAACCATGTTGTGCACCTTACAAACAGCATGGGTAAATGAACGGATACGATGCTTTATGGGTAGCCATTTCACGGTCCTAAAAATATCCTAATTAGAAACTCTTCGAAAGCAAAAAATATCCTTCCTTCAAGTATAAAACTTGAAGAAAACGCAATTTGCTACCAGATAGCAGAGGACAAAATATTTGGTAATTTTTTCCACAACATATATTTGAATGTATAAGGGTATCGAAAATCTATATGAAAAATTCATAGGTGTTTTGGCAGATTTTGAATAATTCATATTGACACAACCGTGAAAAACTCGGCGCCTCGGTGGGATTCGAACACATGCAGTAAGGGGAAGGCTTTACTACAGCCAACCCTCTAACCACTGGAGATACCAGGCCCCGCCGGACGACGCGGGTTTAATCACCTTTGGGTCAAGTTGCCCGCCAAACCTACTGCAACGTCTGGAATCCACCAAATCTGATTCAGTAAGTTGAGTGCCCAGTCAGGATTTCCTCAGTAATTCACCTAGAATCCACCAGATGACTACCAGGTTTACGTAATTCATATATATTTTGGCTGTACCAAGGCCTTCCCCTTACTGCGTGGGTTCGAATCCCACCGAGGCGCCGAGTTTTTCACAGTTGGGTCTATATGAATATGAAAAATGCCTATTACTTACGCGGTCACCCTCATAAAGGTTAGGCTTCGCAAGTAGCCGGAGGGAAGCTCATTTAAAAGCCGACATCCTGATGTAACTGAAGTGTTTTGTGGTCATGCTGTGGATCAAGTAGTCATGCGACCCCACTTAGGTAATCTTTTCTAATAGAAGACACATTTAAAAAGTTAGGTTAACTTGTCATAAGACAGCACACATACTGTGTAAAAAAATATTTCATACCAGTCGGTACTGCAGTCTGTTTAAGTAATTACTCCAATCATGAGATCGATATAACGACCACAGGAAATATATGTGATTTTAGGTATTTGTGGAATATTGGATACGCCTACCCCCCTGGCTTACTTGCCATGCGGCGAGAGAGGATCTTGTGTAAATTGCGCTAAAGCTGACCAATATTCCAGTGAAAAATAGGAACCTGTTTTCGGTCATTTAATGCACACTCAAATCCCCTCCTGCCAACAGGAACTAAAAAGCTCACCAACCAGTCGGCTAACTGGACACAAAATGCCCACTGGACCAGTTTTATGGCGGGCTACACTGCTTGCGAGTCTGTCCTCAGAGACCTCTTCCAAACTCAACGCCAGCTCGCAGACAACTGCCTACTTCGATCGCTGCCAACCGACCTACTGCCTCTCTTGCTCTGTCTGCTAGACAACCAGCGTCAACCGGCTGCTGCCAGTTTCCTACGCTCACTCGAGCCCTCTTTGTGTCCCCCAGCGCACCCCGCCTATCTACGACTCCCAGACCACAAGTCATCCACCTGCATGATGCTCGCGGATCAGTGTCGTCGTTTTGATTCTGTCTCGAGTAGTACCGCAGCGCCGTCCGCATCGGCAGCGGTGGATGCACCAAAGTCACCGGAAATCAACCATCCCTTGCAGACTGCGACGACAACATCGCCACATTCGTCCTCGTCGTCCACAGCATCGGAGCGTGTCACCCTGAATGAGGAGCGTACTCCACAGCCAAGTGTAGACAAAGGTATCTCTCCTCGGAAAAGAGCCTTATGGAGGCCATGGTGAAGTGGACAAATAAAGTACTTGCTTTTTTCATGATTAAACGCATTGCAGTGCCCGTTTTCTTGTTGTTTTGGGAAGTCTTATTGGAACAGCTGATGAAAAGGGGTGGACGACTTCTGCACCGTTTACAGTCCCGATAGTTCCCAGGAGGTAGCTTCAAGGCAAAAATGCGGCAGCCTTCTCTGGCGGGTTGTCTTCTTTCCCTGGAGGTTGAAGTGAAGACTGCTCGGCCGGAATCGTTCATATGCCCTCTTCCCCCTGCCGCGTCTGAACAGGGAATAGAAATGCTCCTCCCGCATTATACAATTTGCCTCGAGCCAAATTCCAGAAGGGGAAAATCTCAAAGCGGTTTTCCTGAACCCAGGGGCGTTGCTGCAGGAAGTAGGACTCTTGAAATATGCCCAAGTCAACTTTTTTACTATATTAATATTTGGTCGCTATCACCGATCCGAAAAAATGAACTGACCGGTACAGGGGGAGGGGGGGGGGCGAGTAACGGAGCAACTCAGCTGGAGAACAAAGTCCGTCTGAGTAAGGAGATTGCTGGTGGAGCACCGGAACAATTCGTCTATTATTTCGAGCTTCCGAATTCCTGCAGAAGTTCATCGTTAGAGACGACAGCAGCAACAGAACAAGCAATAGTCCAGTGGGGTGTTAACTGATCATCGACCACTGACTCAGGTCTACGGGTGACTGTATGGAGAAGCCAGACTAATATATCGGTTGACTGACTTATCAGGCGAGACTCATGCTTTGGTCGATTCTCGCTGTGGGCGATTATAAATACTGCGAATTTGACCCGTTTCGAAGGTGCGAGCAGTCACTTGCGATGTGTACTGACAAATCCTGCCTACGCTCATGTGTGCGCGACCCCGGCATGCATATAGTCTGGCCTGTGTAGTTGCAAGGGCAGTTTAGGCACCGCCCTTGGCACTTACTCGGTCTTTAATTTTCGGACCGAATCCTAGTCCGCAGCAATGCGCTTGGCCATTTCCTGAATCGTTTGTGGACCACCGGATGGTTTCTCTAAAAACGGAGGAGTTGCATGGTGTTCATAGCCCTCCTGCAAACGGTTGTCTCAGCTTCGTCGTTAGGACGTAA